TGAAGGGGTTGGCCCACCCAGGGCCTTAAACTGAAAATCTATCTGGTAAAGTCCGTAAAAATCAACATGGATGAATGTTACTAGGCACCAACAGGGATGAAAGTGGGCTCCTGGAAACTCTCACAGTGTTCTTAGCAATACTAGAATGTTCAACATGCCCTCAGGTGTCATCTTTACTCTCCTACCCACTGCAAACCAACAACAACAACAAAACAAACACAATCTACAACACCCCTGTGAGAAAAGTCTGCCCTCAGCTTCATATTCCCAATGTGTTCCACAAAACAGTCTGGGAATTGTGCGGGGAAATGAAAATGCTGAGTTTTGGTCTTTACTCAGTTTCTCTTTACCCACTCACTGTTTCGGTTCTCCAGTACTGCTATTTGAATCTCCACCTGGTTCTTGTACTATTAATCAGAAATAATATATATAAAAGCATTTGAGAGGAAGATCTTAGACCACCACAACACAACACAAATGCGGATTATTATTACTGAGTCCCTTTCTTATTTTTAGACCATTCTGAGCATAACAATTTAAGAATGCCTCATTGTGCCTTGACTCCTGCCCAGTAATTTCTCGCACAAGGTGGTTTATTAGAATATGGGATCTCTGGTGAAGGCTATGATTCCCAGATGATGTGAAAGACATCTACAGACCTTAATGAATGAACACATCTCTCTTTCCCAGGAGCGGTGCTGGGGAATATAGACGACTATGACCCTGCTGCCCAAAGCAAAACACGATTAATGTTGGTTTATTCCCAAGGCAGAGTATCCTTTAAAAACTTTTATTACTTTACCTAAAACGTATAATTTTCCTTGTATATTTCCTCTGGCCTCAATTTAGTCCATATCGAAATTGTTACAGCTTTAATTTTTGCTAGATCGTAAAATTGAATCCTTTATCAGATCAGCCCTGATCACCTATCTAGATAACTTCTAATTAGAGGCTCAGGTTCTGGTTAGGGGAGCATACTTTCAGTTCAATTTCTGGCTCTGGCCCTAAGTAACTGCATAAACCTTCACAACTGTCAGAGCCTTGGTTCCTTGTCTGCAAAATGGGGGTAATAATACATAAGGGGCTCTTCTAAGGATAAATAAGATAGAATATATAAAGCAAATAGTTCTACAAATGGTAGCTGATTACATTTAAGTATTCTTATTAAACACATATACTAGGTACTGTACCACTGCCCTCTGATTTTGTTTTTGGTTTTTTTTTTTAAACATATAAGGTTTCAGAGGCCCCAGGACCGAAGAGGTTATTTCTAATGCTCGAGGAATTACATTGATCTCTTTCTTTGCCAGCGCCCAGTATCCTAAGGCTAGTTGTGGAGTGGGGTTTAAGGATTATCACGTGGAGATCCTCTCTCCACTCTTGATTCATTCACCGTAGTCAATACTGCTCCGATTTCCATTAAGTAAAAGGTTCTCTCTAATCCATATACATTGAACTATGGCTTGACTTTGTTGAGATACAAGAGAGTAATTGCTTTGAGGAGGTTCTAGTAACATCAAAACAGAAGAGGAGGGCTCAAGTGATTTGTCAGGCAGCTTTTAAAATTGTTGCTTATAACAGCAAGAAGAAAGAGGTTTTTCATGGTTTTAAGGCAAGGCTTTGACTAATTTTTTTGAACTACAATTCCCAGAATGCCATCTACCTTGTAAAAATGAACGCCTACTTGAATTTCACATTGAGAGTCTGAGATCGATTTGTCTGTTTCACGGCTAGTAAACTACTCAGAGCCAAGCAACAATGCACATAGGAAAGGTTTCCAAGACTTAAGTGAAGGAGGCCAATAACTAAACTAACCTGAATAATATTTTTGAGGCATTATTTGGCTAAAGGGTTCGGTTCTGTTTTCCTTTGTAGTGGAGAACTGGTCCTCCCAACATTCGGTGTCTCAAGCACTACACCACCAGATAATCCCTAGGGCTCAAAGCCATTCTAACCCCGAGGATGATAGTCTTGTCATTGAAGATTTGTGAGGCAAATCAGTCTAAGGAAAACAGCAATATTTACGGATCTCTGAATCAGAAGACGAAGGCCCTAACCATAATTTTGATTTCTCTAAGTACTTTTCTTGATTTTGAAATATATTGAGTGGCATTTACATTGTCCTTGGGTAAAGAGCAAGGGGTAAAGTCTGCTCCCTGAGCACTGGACTCAAAGAGGAAAAACTCAACTTTGGGGAAATGAGGTCCCTTAATGGATCTTCGCTTTGTTCTCCACAGGCCAGAATGCCTATCTACTGCAAAATATCTTTCCTCTGCCCTCATTTCTGGAAAAAGAAAAAAAAACAAAAACAAAAAAACAGCAGTAAAACTACTACCGTTTATTACCTAGGAGACTCTGACTCTCTTACATCAGAGCTATGACAAAAACACGGCTTAGGGTGTAGAGTCAGACTGCAGGAGTTCTCTGCTCCACCACTCAGTTGATGTAATAAATGGGTATAAATATAACCCCTTTAAGACTCATGTATAGCCTTTAAAATGGGGATCACTATAGTGTCTCCTAACAGGGCTGCCATACAGATTAAATGAGATAATACATGTAAAGTGTTTAGCACAGGGATGGGCTCATGATAAACACTCTATAAATGCTAGCTATTGTTATGAGCACCTTAAAGTAACCTTTGGCTTCTCTTCTTCCTTCAGCCACCATATCTAATCTGTCAACAAGCCCTGTCAATTCTTACACTCATTCTCTTCCCTCCCCAACTATAAATTACCTATGCAGTGAATGAACAAAAGATTGCTAAGAAGGATGCCCACCCACATAAGCGTACATATTGGCTATCTCCGATGAGGCAGATGGGGGTGGGGGGAATGGGTTTGAGAAGGGGAACAAGGAAGTTTTGTCTGTAATATTTTATGTCTATAAAAAATACATCTGAGGGGTGCCTGGGTGGTGCAGTCGGTTAAGCGTCTGGCTCTTGGTTTAGGCTCAGGTCATGATCTCAGGGTCCTGGGATTGAGCCCCACATCGGGCTCTGTGATCCATGCAGAGTCTGCTTGAGTTTCTCTCCCTCTCCCTCTGCCCCTCCCACTCATGTGTGTGCTCTCTCTAAAATAAATTAATTAAAAAATATATATCTGAAACAAATACGGCAATAAGGGTTATATGGTGTTTTTCTCTGTACTTTTCTTTAGGTTAGAATTTTGTCATCATTTACACCAACATCAACAACAACAACCACAAACATCCTCCCACAGCACTATGATGTTCAACAAGTTATTTGATCTCTGTTCGCCTCATTTTCCTTATCTGTAAATGGGAAGAGCAGCATTTTTCTGGCAGGATGACAATGAAGAATTAAATGAAATTACGGATGGCCCTTTAAAAAGAGATACTGTTGTCGTTTTAATTATGATTACCATCTGGTAGTTTCTTTGTCTATCATGAGTTTACCCTCTAATTCAGAATGCACCGGCTTGCAGGATAATCTTCCTCAAACGAGGCTTCCTCTCATGGTCTTCCCAAGAACCTGTATTCTCTCCCCCTGGTGTAGCCAGGCCAAGCAGGGGTGACTGTCTGGCTGACACCTTCCCTGAGCCCCTCTTCCTCCCCCAGCACTGGGGCTGCACCTTGCTCATGGCGCCTACCACCTGCACTGTACTTTGAGATCCCTAAGAAGCAAATGTGCTTGATTCTGCCCGATAATATTTGCAGTGGAAGAAATAAGGAGGGAAAACAGAAAGGAAGAAAAAGACTCAGGGCTGGGCTCTAATTCTGGCTCCTGCAGGCGCCCTTCCTATGACTGCCTTGCTGGGACGAGTTGTAGCGTTCTGTGTTCAATGCCCTATCTGGGGTGTGGGCTGGTTGCACGCTCGACTGCCCCTATAATCAGGCCCCTTACGCAGTCCTCTTTCCCTACGCTCAGAACAAATCCTCTGCCACCAAGTGGGGCTTGAACGTGTCACATGTTCACTCTAATTCGGTTCTTGTTTCCAAATTTTTACCTTCTCTCCAAAACCCTGCCTGCCCAAGTTCTAAGCCTTCTAAGAAACTTTCCTCAATATATTTTACCCATTTAAAAAAAAAAAAAACCTAACACATCTATAACTTATAAAAAGCTAGTCACTGTTCTACATACATTGTGTATATATTCATTTATTTTCGCCTCAAAACTCTGTGAAGTAACTATTATTATCCCATTTTAATGATGAGGGAACTGAGGCACAGAGGGATTAAATGGACTTGGCCAACTCACACAGCCAGTAAGTGGCAGAACTTGAACTCCAATGGTCTGCTTTGGACTACACACTTTGTCACCCCATGAAAACCTCTTTCTAATCAATAGCTTTTAACTTCTTCCATACTGTGTCATATAATTTTTTCATTAAAATTGAGTAATGCACTAATTTATATTCTCTTATATTATTTGGTAACTCATAGCATAATGTTAACACCCCATAAATACTGATTATTAGAAATTAAATCTTTATATGATTATGTAAGCTGTGGGAGGTAGACCTTCATAAGCTCAGGTAGGATTGTACTTCCAGAATGTATTTACTGACACTGATAGCAGTCCTGGGAGATGGACAGGCCAGATCAATTTGACAGGTGAGAAGAGTGAGCCACAAGAGTTAAGTGACTTATTCCAAATTATACACTAAACAGCAGTGCCTGGACCAAATCAACACCACCCGATTCTAAGTCATGGCACTTTTTTATAGCAGGCTTTCTGGAATCTCTCCGAGGTCAGGTCATAGCAGTGGAGACACTTGGAATACGGACAGGAAATAAGGAGCAGGAGGAGTGCATACACCCTTATTAATACCTATCCTTGTCTTTTGCGTATTTTTTATTTAAAAAAGGGGCGTGGCAAAAAGCCTGGCTTTAAGCTGTCCTTAGGCGCTTGGGAGCTGTCTCACACGCATCACAAGGTGTTCATTACCATAGCCTGTCCTTACTGTTGCTTGTGATCTACCAGTGATGACTTAACTTACATTTCAGAACCCACTGTTGAACACAAGCCAATTCCTTACCTGTTGTCCATGCCATTGTTCTGGGTATGGAGGTTTTCTCTGCCATCCTTCTGAGCTACTTTTCTGCTTGCTTCCTCTTCTGTCTCACTCAGGCTTTCCTCCTCTAAGCTGTCTGGCTCCATACTGTTGTCCCCCTGGATTTGGTCTTCAAACTGGGACTTACTCTCTTGAGTGAAGCTTCCTGAATCAGATTCCAAGGAGTCTTTTGAAATCAGATGTAAGTCCTTCTTGAAAGGTGGCTCTGTGGACCGGACCTTTAAGTTGGTATGATGAACAGGAGATTGAATTGAGAGCTTGGGAATTAATTTACTATGACTCATCTTGAAAACATACAAATATGAATATGAATACAAATATTCTTGATGATAGGAGCAGTTGGCTTGAGTATTTAAAGTTGTGGTTCACAAAAGCATTACCTAAAAAAAAAAATTGTATTCGTGTCACTTTGTGACTACAGAATTCTCTTTAATTTCAACGTTAATCAAACGTTTAAGTGAGCAGAACCCTGTTACATTATCTGCAGCCTTTTGTATGTACCCTTTTGTATGGGGAAGGTCTATTGGAAAAACTATTGTGTTCTCTCTACAGAAACACATCTGATGTAGAGTTCATAAACAGCCTGAGTAATCAAATACAGCTTTATTGAGGAAATCAAATGGCTGGATTCCTTTTTCTACCTTCCAAGGGCCTATTACAGACAAGCCTGGACAAAGCTAAATGGTTAATTATGGACGGTACTTTGATGGCTTTATTTCAAATACCCAGGGCACCAATATAAATATGCCATGTTCAGGAGTATTCATGAATAGAGTAAAACAGGTTCAGGATCTACTGTTTGAAAAGTAAAGGAGAGAGCAGGGAAGAACATGGCCTCCATAGTTGGAACTGTAAAGAGGGAAGCTGTTTTGTACCTGGATCTATATCGGCTGGTTTCATCATTTAGAAGGCATTTTGGCCCCCCGGGTTGCCACTAGGTAGGAATAAGTAATTTAGGTGGACATTACGTGGAGATCAATCTCAGCTCAGTATATAAAAAAAAGAACAATGATTAAAACTGTTTAACGCAAAATTTGGAGGCTTTGTGCATACTGCCACTGAGTGATTCATGGCAGAGGCTGGATGTCTACCTTCTTGAAAGGGATGCTGGCCTCGAGAATATTGCGTGGGTGGGAGATTGGCCTGAGTAACAGCTAGGGTCCCTTCTAACTCGCTTAAGTGTGTGATTCCAAGTGAGCCTTCCTTGCCTCAGAGGGCTGCCATAAAGACCCATGAGATGGTTTATGGAAAGGGTGCTCTAAGTTCGTATCACATTGAAAGGAGATGATGATTTTGGATTGTGCTTCCTTTCATCTCTCCCTAGCATTTCTATTTTGCTCAGTCTTCTATCTCACTGCCTTTATGCCATTTTTTTTTCCTGTAGGTCAGACAACAGAAACTTTTACCATCAGAGATTCCAGGGCTTGCTCTTGTTCTTTTGGCAAATGCTAGCTTTAATTAAATAACACAAACTTATTCCTATTTCTTGCACTGCTAATAATGTTGACCTCGTTGCTAACACCATCAACACCTCAGAGGAAAGTACCTTAACAAACAAAATAGATGAAAGGTAGCATTCAGATTTAAATGCATATGAAGTGGTTTTCTTTTTAATTCAAAATTCCCCAAGCTGGTATTATAAATATAAATAATATATTATTGTTTAACCGTACAGACTGCTATATCATCTTATTTTAAAAATACATAGTGTGTCCTATCTTATTTTAATATTGACAAGTAGATTAACTCTTGCTTTTTATGGAGTTTTTAGAAAGCAGCAAATCCACCAAGTACTAACTAACATTTTAACAGAAACAGTTTGTATAAACATCTGTAAGAGTTTTACTGGGGGAGTTTAAGTCACTGTGCATGGGATTGTTAAAGACAAAGCTTAAAATAATCATTCTATCTCAATTTGGAATTGCTCATGAAATCATTCAGTACCCTCAATTGTTTTTTTTTTTTTTTTTTTTTAAGATTTTATTTATTTGACAGAGACAGAGACAGCGAGAGCAGGAACACAAGCAGGGGGAGTGGGAGAGGGAGAAGCAGGCTCTCCGCAGAGCAGGGAGCCTGATGCGGGACTCGACCCCAGGACCCCGGGATCATGACCTGAGCCGAAGGCAGACGCCTAACGACCGAGCCACCCAGGCGCCCTCAATTGTTGTTCTTAAGTGAGATGGACTAAGGTTTCCTAGAGTTAATGAATAAAAAAAGTCCATAGAAGAAGATTATTTTGGTGTAATTAATGAAATCTGGAATAGTGCAGAGAATAGAAAGCCAAACACCAGCAAAGCTGGGGCTTTGGTGGAGGCCTGATCTTATAAAGGCATGAGATTAAAGAAGGAAAAGCTGGTATCTCGAATAAATTAGCAAGTAGGCATTTTAAATGTCATGAATGTGGCTCCGTAGTGGCACAATTGTTTTTCACTGAAATTTTGGACCGAGAGAGGCTGACAACCTCGTTACAAAAGTAAACAAGGCAGACTGGGATATTGCCAATGGTATCCAGGCACTAAGACGCGGCAGTTCCCTAGGGTTCCCTTCAAGACCTTGGGTCTCCTCCTCTAGTACTGGGAGGAACGAATTTCCGTCTGTAGGTGAAAAGGCACCCTCCTTGCTCTGGCCAAGAAGAAAGAGAAAAAGTTGCCCTGTTGTGGAACAGCCCGGAAGCTGCCCACAAGGGACGATCGGTTTGTTTTCTCTCTTTGCCTCTTTTCTGATGGACAAGACCCGGCAGCCAAGGCATCTTAAGGTCAAGGAGGTGACAGGTCCCTGGGGGCGGGGGCGGGGAGGGAGTCTGTTGCCCTGGGCAGTTCTTTATCAACAGAGGACAGGGCTGCTCTGGGAGTCCGGACACTAAAGCCTCTCCAGGTGCCGGTTCCTGGGCCCTCGTCCCTGCCTTGCCACGGTCCCCCACTTCCTGCCCGGGCCCCAAATGCTGTCCGGCGCGGGCTCGTTGGGGTTCTGCTGGTCCTGATCCAGTTTCCTCCTGTCCCCACCCCCAGTCCCAGTCCTTCCCATTTCCCTCCCCCGGCGCGCGCACCCTCGTTCAGGAGGCAACCGCCTGTCACCTGCCCAGTGCTCCTCGGCGACCGCGACCCCTGCAGCCTGCATCCTCCTGAGCCGCCACCACCCGACCTCCCTCCTCCTGCCCCGCCCCGCGCGCGTGGCAGGTGCTGCCTTGGAGACCGTGGCCAACAGAGCGCGCCCGGGGCTCCGCTCAGGGGGCGGGGCTCCGCTCAGGGGGCGGGGCTCCGCTCGGGGGCGGGGCCAGCGCGGAGGCGTTTCCTGCCCCGGCAGAGGGGGTGGGACTGGTTGTGATGACCGCGTTCGAGGACGGGGAACTCTGGGCCAGGCTGCTGTAGGGCCACCCTGACTTCCCATCTTTGGAAAGCAAGGAAAGGCAGGCCACTGAGTGGGAGGAGATACCTGCGACAAATACTGCTAGGGCAGGCAAAGGACTCCTACAAATCAAGAGAGAAAATCCAGTGAAAGAAGGGGTAAATGACTTGGACAGGAATATTAGAAAAGAAATCCAAATGGCGGATAAATATTTGTTTTTGATTGAAAAGGTGCTTAATTCATTAATAATCAGAAGAGGGCAAATTAAAAGCATAGTGGATATCTGTGACTCCGTACTCACCAGATGGGCATAAGTCAAAATATCTGACTGCGCCCAGGGTAGGGGAGGATGCAAGGCAAAGAACCCTCATGTGCTACAGAGGGGAGTGTGAAGTGGCGCAGCCACTTTGGCGAATCGTTCGAGGTTAGCTGGGATATATAAATATCCTGCGACTCAGCAATTTCACTTTTAGGTGTCTAGCCCCCAAACTTATGCACCCAACTGAAAATAACTGAAACGTCCATCAACAATAGAACAGTTAATTAAAATGTGATACTCCATACCCTGGCCTACTATACAGTAAGGTCAATGAATGAAATACAGCAACAACACAGAGAGATCTTAACGCCTCCGCCTCCTGGTTTCAGCTTAGGTCCTGATCTCAGAGTTGTGAGATGGAGCCTGCGTCGGGCTCTGTGCTCAGTGAGGAGTCTGTTTATGTTGCTCTTCCCCTCTCCCTTTGCCCCTCTTCCCTGCTCAGGCTCTCTCTCTCTCTCTCAAATAAGTAAATCTTTTAAAAAAAGTGTTGAGGAAAAAATCCCTCAAAATACATATTGTATGATTTTATACATAAAAATTATAAACAGAAAAATTTAAACTGTACTATCTATGGATGTACAGTTAATGGAGAGAACTATGCAAAGAAGCAAAGTAGTGATTGTCATAAAGTTAGGATTGTGATTAGCTCTGGCCTGCATGGGGGGCGGCGTTGGCAGAGTGTGCGATTGTATTTCCTGACTTTTAATGCTGGTTACATAGATAACTCATTTTATAACAGTTCATTAAGCTTTATTTACATTCATGTGTATCTATATAGAATATTTCACTATTAAAAAGCCTTTAAAGAAGAGTAAAAAAAAAAAGTGTTGGGAATTATATTCACATTAAAATAGCATTAAAACCACAAGTAGATTTGAATAACTAGCTGCAAAGAGGGAAGAATGATTCCAGTTGCCTCATTCATGATAGGAAACTGAGAATTGGAAAATATCTTTACTACTCAATTTTACTATTTTTTATTTTGTTTTTTATTCGAGTTAGATATTTTTTTAAAAACTTTTTTTTTGACAGCAGTTACCTTGTCTTATGAGTATACAACAGAACCTCAATGTTAAGAAATGAAAGCAAGGGGCGCCTGGGTGGCTCAGTTGGTTAAGCGACTGCCTTCGGCTCAGGTCATGATCCTGGAGTCCCGGGATCGAGTCCCACATCGGGCTCCCTGCTCGGCAGGGAGTCTGCTTCTCCCTCTGCCCTCTTCCCCCTCGTGCTCTCTCTCTCTCATTCTCTCTCTCAAATAAATAAATAAAATCTTAAAAAAAAAAAAGAAATGAAAGCAGGGTAGCCAAAAGCATTGGTGCTGTTCTGCCCAGCATATTATACAGATTAACATTAGAGCTACTGCAAGTGTGCAAACCAAGCCCAGGCAGAAGGATTTGTTCCCCACAGCAGCTTCTGGAATATGTTATGGAGTTGTTGCTGAGTCATTCCCTTGTCTGCCTCCTCATCTGCTGGTCTGTGGAAACAGATGCTGTGGTTCTTCAGACCCGTGAGGTGCTTTCTGCACCATCTAGAAAAGATTTTATGCTGCTTTTCTGCAAATGATATTTCCTATGAGATTCAGGAATCTACCAATCCAGCAGCTACTTTCAGAGACTAGTCACACCCAGAACATGGGACACCCTGAGCCTGATTTTCCTCCTTCCTCCTCTGTAACGGCTCTCCTGATTATTCTGATTTAAAGCAACTAAGGGCTGAAAGAATAGTCATGATTGGCAGTTGGGGTCCAGTCAGGAGACAGAAGCCACACCAAGTTATTTTAACAGAAATGATCTCATGTGAAGATTTATGAACTGAAACATTGAAAGGAGAACAGGAGTATCGCCTGGAAGGAAGCCACCACCTGCCCTGTTTCTAGGAGAACCCTAGGAAGAGTTTGGAATTATTAAACTTGACAAGCTTGGAGGAAGGGGCCAGAGCGGGGATCCAGGCCTCCAAGGAGGAAATATAAAGCTGATGAGTGCTGGTGTCTGAAAAGGGGTGATGAGGCTGGTTCTGGGGACTTGGGAAAACTATAAATCAACTGCTGTTACTGAAACAAAGAGGGAGCAAAGACGGAGCAGTCCCTTTTCCCTTTTCCAGCCTTGCGGTCTCCCTCTAGTGCCCCCTATTGGCAGGCTTGACAAGGAGCCGGCGGGAGAAAGGCGGTGAGGACGGTTTGCCCCCATCACAGCAGACTGTGGGTGTAGTTGAAGCTGAGAGACCCTGGTTTAATAAGCAGCACAGCAATATTCTCTTCTTCACAGTTCCTAAGAATTACCGCGTACAAGCAAAGCCATAAAGTGCATCGTTTTTATCAGCTGTTACGGCACTAATTATACTAAATCTATGTATGAGTAACACTTCCCAGGGTTTGCAAAGTGCTTTTCTGTGTATTACCTGTTCAGAATTAAGCTGGCAACCCGACCCTAACCAAAACCCAAGAAGAGTGAGAAACACAAGTAAAAAAATCATCGGGGCGCCTGGGTGGCTCAGTTGGTTAAGCGACTGCCTTCGGCTCAGGTCATGATCCTGGAGTCCCGGGATCGAGTCCCGCGTCGGGCTCCCTGCTCTGCAGGGAGTCTGCTTCTCCCTCTGACCCTCCTCCCTCTCATGCTCTCTGTCTCTCATTCTCTCTCTCTCAAATAAATAAATAAAATCTTAAAAAAAAAATCATCAACATAGATAGGTTAGTAATGCTGGACTGATTTGAATCCTTCTCCACCGTCCTTCATCCATCCCTGCAGCTCCCTACTTCCTACCTCCCTGTCCTGTGCTGTTACTCGTGCTTCTGCTAGCACAGTCTTTCCTCCACTAGTTCTCACCTCCCAGACTGCTACTCAGTCTATATGACCTTACTGAGCTTCATCTCCTGCAGGAAGGATTTTCAGATAGTCCCCCCGCACTGTCCTCATGACTCTTGACCCAGGGTAGTTCTGAGTCCAGGGGAAGATGGCAGCATCTGGAGACATTTTTTAGTGTCATGACTTAGGGAAGGGGCTACTGGCATCTACTGGGGAGAGGCCAGGGATGCTGCGAAACATCCTGCAAATGAGTGGGACAGTCTCCACCACCAAAACCCAACTCCATTCCAAAGGTTCATAGTGCTAAGGTTGACAAACCCCATGCTAGACTAATGGCCCTTGGGCTGTGGCCCCAAGCTACCCAAGTGCATGCTTCCATTGTTACAGGAGCATACCTGTGGTATTGTATTATTTATGAGTTACTTGTTGACGATTCTGTCACCTCCTTACTCTATGATCAGCTCCTGGAGAGCAAGGACTAGCATTGTGCATGCAGCTCAATAGATGCTCAATAGGTGTTGAAAAACCACGGGACCCTTATAATTTAGCCCTTGAATGGAGGATAGATAACTGTAGCCCTATTAGGTCTTTTAATAGAGATATGCTCTTACTTGGCACATGACTCTGATGATTAGATAATTTATTATTTAAGCCCAGGATATGCTCAAAAATAAAAAACAATTGCTATTAACAGATATAAACTGAAATTTTCATAGGTAGCTAGGAAGTGTGGTTATTCTATGTGTAACTCTAACAAGTTTAATCTTCTGGTTCCTTTCCATATATGTTAGATTAGGAGCCAGTTAGAGGATAAGGAAAGGCACCCTGAGGACAGAGAGAAGGGACATTGCCATCAAGTGAAGAGACAGCAATATCACAAAAGTAAGAGATGTTCAGAAAAACAAAGCAACTTGCAGTTGTTTGGCGTAGGCAAAAGGTAACCCTCTAGTGGAAAACTGAGAATCAGAGTATGACAACAAGCACAATGATTACTTTCCATACTGACTAACTTTTACAAACTCACACAGAATAGATCAGTTTAATAAATGTGAGTAGAAACATAAAAATCATGTAGTATATTTTACAAAGATTTTTTTCCTCCAAATATTAAAATGCTTAAAATTTCAAGAGACAAACTCTCAATTATCTGCCCACCCCCAGCATTTATTTAGAATGACCATTCGAGATTTTTATGAAGTTGTAATAAGTATGTGTTTATAGTGCAATTCAACAGACAGAAGTAGATAACTCTAACCCTGTTCCAGAAGATAGAGTCGAGTGCTGAGGGACCCTAGAGGGGGAGAGGGAGATTCTGCCTGGCTGGAGCCAGAGGCTTTAGGAACGAGATGATCCTATAGGGCGGCTCTTATGAATACAGAGCAACAAATCATCAATGACCGCCTTTCTTCTAAAATAATTTTATTTTTTATTTTTTTAGAAAAGATTTTATTTATTTATTAGAGAGAAAGACAGAGAGGGAACACAAGCAGGGGGAGTGGGAGAGAGAGAAGCAGGCTTCCTGCCGAGCAGGGAGCCCAATGCAGGGCTTGAAATCAGGACCCTGGGATCATGACCTAAGCTGAAGGCAGACGCTAATGACTGAGCCACCCAGGCGCCCCCTTAAAAATAATTTTCAAACATTTTTAATTAAATTTTTTATTATGGACATTTAAAAACATATACAACAGTAGAGAGAAAAGGATAATGAACACACATGTAGCCCTCGCCCAGCCTCAACGAAG